GGCCATGCCGGGCCAGTTGTGTTCGATAAAAATATATCTTTCAGCGCTATTTTTTGTTGTTAATGATAATAATGAGCTAAAGTCACTTCGTACTTGGTATTCTCAACCAGTACGGCATATAAAACGACACATGGACTAAACGATCCATTCAGATGACAATGTTCGCGACACATGAACTAAATGATCAGATCAGACTAAAATGTTCGCGACACATGGACTAAACCATCATATCAAACTTACAATGTTCGCGACACATGAACTAAATGATCAGATCAGACTAAAATGTTCGCGATACATGGACTTAACGAACAGATCAGACTAAAATGTTCGCGACACATGGACTAAACCATCATATCAAACTTACAATGTTCGCTACACGTGGACTAACTGATCAGATCAGACTAAAATGTTCGCGACACATGGACTAAACCATCATATCAAACTTACAATGTTCGCTACACATGAACTAAATGATCAGATCAGACTAAAATGTTCGCGATACATGGACTTAATGATCAGATCATACTCCAATGTACATGCATAGTCGTCCCTAATCAAGGAACTGCTCGCCAGAAGGAGGACAACCAGTAAGCAACACTCTCCACCAATACAGCTGCTCTTGAGAAAATAGTGAGATTAACGGTTACTTTTATCACACGCCCACAACTAAAAGTGCGGAGCGAGCTCAGCTGCATAATTCGGCTTGGAATCTTGAACCGTCTAACTTACAATCCGGTGTTCTAAACAGCCTGACTCTGGCTGTGAAATAATCTGGGCTTAATGTGTCATATCTCAATAAACCATTTCTATGTGCATCTACATAACATAAGTTAATTCTTTAATCGTGTTGAAATTTGCGTATAACAAATAAGAATGTGTGTAAAGTAAAACTATTATTACCTTTAAATTATCACAACATTAATGTGCAGACTACTTCTTCAACATATCATAAGCGTTACTCTGTTACTATAAATATCTTATTGTCATATTTTATACACTCAGAGATAGGATCATTTCTCGCAATTTTAAAAAGCTGAAAATACGAATGTGATTTTTATTTATAAGTTAATATTTAAAAAATAATAATTCTACGCACAAAACGCTGTAGCATACATAAGGCAAAATGTGATATAACTAGGGAATTATAATTCTTTCTTAGGTTATTATGGCTCCATATTAATCTTAAAATGTTATTTTTCTTCGTCTTTGCACTTCTTAAGTTTTCTCAACATCTAACCTAGAAACGACTAAAGCGATTAGTTTGCTTTTTCACACTTAAAATCATGTTTGATCAACTTCAAGATGAAAAACTGTTAAAGATTTGATGGCCTAGTAGATTTCGCGGGATCAAAACCCATTGCCGAACATGCTTGCCCATCCAGCCGGTGGGGCTTTATTATGTGGCAATCAATCCAACTATTCGTTGTTAAAGAGTATCTCAAGAGTTGGAGGTGGATGGTGTTGACACACTCCCTCTAGTATACAACTTCAAAATTAGGGATAGCTAGCGCGGATAGCTCTCCAGTAGATTTGTGCAAAAATTCAACAACAAAGAAATTGATAATGATTGCCACCATCGCTCAAGAAAGGGATCAGCAAACAAATTGATAATGATTGTCACCATCGCTCAAGAAAGGGATCAGCAAACAAATCGACAATGATTGTCACCATCACTCAAGAAAGGGATCAGCAAACAAATCGACAATGATTGCCACAATCGCTCAAGAAAGGGATCAGATTGTTAGAATAATTTTGGTCAACAGAAAATGATAATTAGATATTATTGTGTTTTACGTGACTCCAATGTACCTCATCTTTTATCGTTCAACGTGTCAAGTAGCCATCTTGAATCTTACGATGGTCATCATAAGTTTTCTTTTGTGTAAATTTTGTTACAACGTGATCGATTTTCATGTGGACTCCATAGCAGTCAAATGAAAATTCTAAAGAAAACAAAAATGTCAAGTATCAAAAGTATATGATTTTCACGTAATGTCGCATGATCTATATACGTTTAGATTAAAGAAAAACATTTTATATATTCCGAGTTGACAATATACATAATAATAATAATAATCAATGTTATATGTTAGTTTTAAAACGCGGTTTTTATTTCATTACGCACTGCTGACAATAAGTGATATTCGGAGGTAACAAAACCTTTATGATTAAAATTAAAATTTTTTTTGCTTACTTTTACAACTAGGCGGACCATCTGACCATCTGCCTGAAGCTGTGCACGTGATGTCCTTCGAACCAACCAACTTGAAGCCTTCCATGCATGCAAAGTGGGCTTTGCTATGCAGTTTGTTTCCTTCAACGGCCATCACACGGTTGTGATCTACTGATTGAATCGGCGGACACTCCACATCTAAACAATTTTAATATTGGTTCATAGAAGGTTTTGACTTTATTATTAGATAATTCCCCTATGTTGGAATATACGATTGGTTCACCAGCAAACTATTAGATCACAAACTATTAGATCATTTATATAAGATTTTGTTTTATAATTTTACTTTATATTTGCCTTAGTTCTTCTCTGGTTTTTCAGGACATGAAACACAAAAGAAAAATTTATGGATTTCAATGACTGAAAGTCTTCGGAATCGTTTTTAAATCATCTTATATATCATACATTAAAAGTTATATGCGCCTCTGTAAAAACAATATTACTCTCTTATCTAACTTATTTTCTACAGTAGCAATAAATCTAAAGTTTAAATAACTTTGAATTAAAATTAGGTGCATTATTCTAATATTGGTACAGTAATTGTCTACTCCATTGTTTTGCTTATCTCCTGACTCTTTAAGATGTAAGATAATCTGTATTTACAAACTAAATGAACAGGTTGTACATATGATTATTGAAAATAAAAATAAGTGGTTAGTTTAATAATATTAAAATATTTTTAACCTTTTCCAGTATTTAGTATTTTCAATATGAAAGGCATCTTATGCGATACAAGAGCTAAACTTTCATTTCAAAGATCCCAGGATTTATATACAATCGCCCCTAATTTAGAGCTGCTGAACAGAGGGAAGAAAAGCAGTCAACAGCACCTGCTGACACAGCTTCTCTTGGTTGAATAGCGGTATCAGAATGTTCAATTGGAACGGTACCTTATGCGCAAGTTGACTAAACTTCTGGAATTTAAACATAGCCGGCCTTAATTTTGAGCTATTGGCAAGTAGAAAATCAGACAGCCAGCAGTAACCGCTACCGCAAACGCATTGCTTGGCTCTTTGAACCGAATTACTAGATTGATTTTCACTTTTATAATGTATCCGCACTTGAAAGTCCTGAACGTGTTCACCGGCATCAGGTGAACACGTTCAGGACTTTCAAGTGCGGATACATTATGATGCCGGTGAACACGTTCAAGACTTTCAAGTGTGGATACATTATGATGCCGGTGAACACGTTCAAGACTTTCAAGTGTGGATACATTATGATGCCGGTGAACACGTTCAGGACTTTCAAGTGTGGATACATTAGGCATCACGTCTCAGATTTTGAATACGCATAGATTTACAGCGCGGCGTGCTAATAATTTGGCCACGCCTGATCCATCATTTTCAGTAAGTACATTGACTCTGAAAATTCTGTTAGCTTCTACGTAGGTTATAGGCTGAAACGATAGGTAATAATTATTCTTTTAGCAGCTAACAATTTTGAAAAGTATAATGTATGTAATATAACTCTACCTTTAGACCAGTGTTGTTTAAACAGTGGGTCGCGAGCAGGTTTCCAGGGGTTCACGAGTTGTCTGCGCGGAGTCAACTTATTTTTTTCCTTTTGAGTCCTCGAGTAGTCTGTTATGAATTAGGACGAAGTGTGCCAAGAAACATCAAGAATTTTCCATTCTTGTAGAGATAATGGGTGGTCGCGACGACCAAAATCCGGACGCGGGGGTCGTCTTGCAAATCCGGCTGAGAAACACTGCTTTGGACATTATATTTCAGTACGTTTTAAACATTAATCTTTGCAGCAATAATTACAAAAGCTTTAAATACAGAATTCTCTTATAGAGCTATCATCATTAGGAATTCTTAGAAATGTATTTTAGAGATTATCAGATTTATTCATAAACAGTGAGTAGAGATTACGAAGAGAGGCTCACTGCACAAGGAACGTTTATCCATTATTATGTGAAGCAAATGTATTTAGAAAAAAAAAAACGTGTTCCGTTCAAGAAAGAAAATATATTTTAAAATTTATGACAATTTAGTTTTTCATTTACAAAAATCACAGCGATTCAGGCATTTTACAATTATATTTGTCTTGGATAGAAATTACTGAACTATTATTCAATCCTCATTTCGAAAATATTACTTAATTAATTCAGACACATTCAATAAATATAATTACCTGCAAAATGGATTATTGGAGTTGGTGAGGCCTAACAGTTAGCTAAATAGCTCAGACTGTGAATCAGAGAATTAATTTTTTACGACCCCTTACGACAAACTGTTGATGTGCTATAAGAGTAACGGCCAAATCTCACTATTCTGTCAAACAAGAGTTCCCAAGAGTTGGCGATGGGTACTCTTGGCCTGTTAACTAGTCAACCGGTTCAAAATCAGTGACAGCTATGCGCAGATAGTTGTTTGCGTAGCCTTGCATATTAATTCTGAAAGAAAGAACTAAGCAAGATAATAACTGAACCGAATTACCAGAGATGAATAATACCCACTTATTTTTCAAACAAGTCAGGTTCTAATCTAAACTGGCCGAACAAGGCATAGTGCTAAGATTACCTGGCTGCAGATCGAAGAGTCACAGGTTCGAATCGTGATGCCGCTAAACTCGATTCGCATGTTCAGCTATGGGCGAGCTGCAAAAATAAGTCACTTACATTATTTAATTCAGAGAGCCGGACAAAGCCTATGTGGCGGAGGGTACCGATGAATGGATTTTCTTTTCTCTGGTGAGCTGTTCAAAATTAGATATTGCTATACTACTTGAACTATAGAGGGCTCTGACCTAGCCGTTTATCGTATGTGTCGCATAAGGTGTCGTTCGGATTGCAAATACCAAACAATAAGTCTGATATAAACAATAATAACACGTAACCTCGTATTTTTGCAAATTCTTAGCAGTTCTTATTAGTTCGGAATATTTTACAAGCCATTTTTCAGTAACTGAATCGGCTTAATTATTTATTATAAAATTATTGTCCGTCCGTAACTAAACAAGAATTTATTCTCCAAACAAATTTCTTTTAACCATCAATCTAGATATCAGATCTACTTGTTTGAGTGTTTGTTTGATATTTTACATTTAGTTTACCTTTTACAGTAATGCGAATTCCATTAATTTCTCCTCGGGGCGTAATGCAGCTGTATTCACCGGTGTCTTCTTCTTTAGCATAATAGATAGAAAGTCGATACTTCCAGCTTCTGTCTTCAGCTGATACGGACCATCCGCAAGGATACTGCCTGGAATTTTTCAGTAACATAATCAGGTGTTTTGATGTAACTTCTAAAAAGTGTAAGGTGTGTTATGTGTTTCAAATAGCTCTTATCGCTGTGATGTTTCTTGGTCTCTTCCAACAAACAATGAGGAACTGGAAGACGATTTTCGCCAAATCTTACAGAATCCCAAAGAAGCAACGTACAAATGGTTTCCATTGAAACTGGAGCGGGTTCCAAGAATGGTGGTGTACGAATGTACTATGATCTAATAGTTCTATCTGATGATGTGGCATTTCTTTTGAGAATCGTCTTAATAGGTCTAATTTAATGCAGTCATGTAATACTTTTTATCATTAAAATACCATAGTCTGTCTGTTGAGACTAATTGTTTCTTTGTATTTCTATTATCAAATCAACAGGTTTACTTAATGACACCAGATCCCGTTGTTTTTCCTCCTAGCTTCGTTTATGAAGTCTGATTTAACACGACTGTGTACTTCTTTTTTCTTATCCTTGAAATATCAGTTCCGTCTGAAAAGTGTAGACGTCGGTTTTTTTTTCCCACTCACTAAATTAAAAGGTATATTTTCGATGAGAACTGATGTTATTGTATTTTATCTATCATCGAACTAACGAGTCTGATTTATTAAACCTAATGATGTGGTCCTTTTTTCTTTCACCAACCACGTAAATTATTTTAATTAATATTGTTATATATATTTCCCTTTATCAACCGAAATGGGCTAAGAAGACCAGAGTTTAAAGCCTGTTAACTTAATTCATCTTCGACCTACCTTGTCTAATGAGATCTGATATTGATTCCTAACTGGCTATTGTATGGGTAACCTTGCTTATTAAGAGCTAACGACCTTTACGTGATAAGCCTGTGTTTGTCTATATCTTACCTGGTTCAATTAGAAGGAAAGGCTTTTAGGAGATTAAAATTACTGCTAGTCAAACTGAAGCTATCAGCTCATTCAATCAAATATAGTAAATGGCAAAATATATTTGAATTAACTTTTAAAATTTTAGAACTTAATATCTGCACGGAAAGAATTAGTTACTAAAGACAAATGTGGATTTTTGAACATAGTAAACACGTGCTCTGATGATGCACTTGCATAAGCATGTAAAATTAATACAGAATTTATAACACACATAAAACTGAGCTTCATATGTTAAAAATTTCAAGAAATTAATCCATAAAAATGAATGGCTGTTTCTAATAGATTTTGCCTAAACATATTCTTTGTTTAGTACTCAGTTAAAACACATAATTTTCGAAGAAGGAAAACAGGAAACACATTTGTAAAATCATTACACTTGGTAACATATCCAAACCTAATTATTAAAAGATATATAATATACATGGGAGGTTTTTGGAACTTTTCCAGTTAGACAGGTCTAATGAGAATAAAATTTAATAATTTTGAAATTGAAAATTATTGTTTCTAGTACAGAGTTTGAGTACATTATATTACAATGATCTCGGAGCCTCGCTGAGTAACGTCATGTTTCATCTTAACAATAACTCAAAATACAATACACCCCTCCTCCATATTTTCCATAATACATCTAATGTACAACGATGACGGTTTTTAAGGGAAGGTCCGTTTCAACAGTCCGATTGCACAGAAATCCATGTAATATAATAAAACTCGTCTCCTTCTCCAACTGCTTGATGTATGCGATGATTGAACTGATATGTCGTGAAAGGAGCTTGATTATGTTGCACACTGTTGCCAAGGCTACGTGGACGGCTTTTATCACTAACTTTTCTGTTCGTGGTTTCTCATTTGTTACAAGACTTCCTACTTTGCTGTCCTCGATTGCGTTGAGAGTTGTTCGAAGTTCCTTTCTGGTTGGTCCTAATACCCTAAGTTGATCCATATTCCTTTGTTTCCCAATGCCATATAATACAAAGCATATTTCCGTCTTGGAAGTTTCGAACTCCAATTTATGATCTAAGTGTATGAATATTTTGTACAAGAAGGGACTGTTACATATCTTTCCCAAAAGCGATCAATTTTCGGTGGCACAACATTGTCAAAATATAGTTTTAATACATAATGTTCAATTACGACTTTATATTGGTTGCATTTGTCATGGAGCTTGATGATTTACATTTTCAAAATCGTTTTGATATAATTTCTTCACCTTCTGATCTTAATATCAAGGAAGCTTTTTGCTTACCATATACAATGTAAAGAAGAGTTTTGCTGAACATCATTAATAAGAAAAAAACCATCCATATCCCAAATAATATATTATAAAACAATGATCAATTTGTATCCACCCCAAAACACTGCTAAAGTCTTAATAAAAGACCGACCTTTGGGTGGATGACCATGTCCATTCAGGATTACCATGTTCTCGTTGAAACAGACAGTTGAGATGGACGATGCTACCTGGAAGAACGACCACTTCCCCTGTCTCAGTTATGTCAGCGTCTCCAGTCACTACATTGTATATTATTGTGGGTGGAGCTTGTTCTAAACACCAAAGGAAGTTATATTATCAATAGGACAATATGTATTTAATGAGACAATAAATACACGATCTTACAATTTATTATTTAATTTATCCGAAACCTAGTTATATGATTATGCAAGATGTTTAATTGTATCTGTTATTATTATTGTTTAGATATTTCAGTCCTCTGCGCAATTATCAATAGGACAATATGTATTTAATGAGACAATAAATACACGATCTTACAATTTATTATTTAATTTATCAGAAACCTTGTTATATGATTATGCAAGATGTTTAATTGTATCTGTTATTATTATTGTTTAGATATTTTAGTCCTCTGCGCAATTATTTTTAATGTAGCTATAAATCATTTTGTTTGTTTTGAACAAAATCATACATTACGAGTGTTGGTGTTTGTAAAACAAAATCCCGCTGATATTTAGTATCAATATTACCATCATATCCTGTATAGAAAATGAATTTCCATTGATATTTTATTAAACCATTAGTGATCCATATTAGTTCAAAACTTTTTTGAAAATCTCAACTCAAAATCCAATAAATAAATGCAAGTTTAGGACTTCACTTTATTGTTGACAAACCGCAATTTTAATTTTAATTTCTGTAAACCATGTGAACTTCCTGTAAAATTAAGAAAGAAATTCGGGTGATAATATTCAGTAAAAATAATTAGATATCCTTATATAAAATGCAGTGATCTGAAACTTTCGATGTAAAATCGAATCAACTGGATTTTTGGACTGACTATAAATCTTGCTTTTGGTTGACCACATCGACCAAGTGTGCTCATTCACAAAACTGTGTTAACTGTCTTACACACGGTAAGAAATTGAAAATAATTATGGCACCTTTGGTATTCAATATCACGTGACATTATCAATATGACACCTATTATACTGTGGGCTCGAATAATTTGAACATACCCCAACCCATGTTTTTAAGGCAATCTATTGTATGAACGTCATCGTTAAGACTCAACAAATCACGTTCGTACTATGTACGTACGTATATAAATAGACATAAACCAGTTAAAACTCTTATGCTGACTCCAAGAGACAGGTGCACTTCGAAAGGCTTAAACTCTGTGTTTTATTTACTGTTGAGTCTACATTCTAATGCAGAAATATCATCCCTGTTGTCTTATCAGAACGGATCGTCAGTTAAAAGTCACGTGTGTATATATATGAATATATAGGCTCTTCAAGGAAGGTGTTTTGCATAACTTCTACATTTCTCATTTTTATTTCGTGAAGATTGATCATTTAGATTGAATGTGTGCATTTTAAGCGTTTATTTATTTCCTGCACAAACTCTGTGGGACCACACGCAAGTGTTTCTATAAATGTCAGTATAATACATGTTTTAGTACATCTATATACTCAAGTTGCTAAATCATAGCAAGCCGTATATAAAGACAGTACGAAAGGCTTATCTGACAGAACGTTAATCCTATCACAACAGTTAAAGTTCTTGGATTGTAATGAAAAGTTTTAAATTGTGTACGATAAACTTACTTGTGGGGAAATTTTAACTGAGATTGTATTTATTATTTTATTTCATGGTTTCCTTGGTTTATCTATCAACCAACTTGAAACAGCTGTTACGGTAAATGTAATTGCAGGAAATACAATTTTATCCTCAGTAGGTTGCCTTTTTGTTACTGTCGCAACATTTGTTTATGATAAATAATAAATTATATTTTGTTCTTGTTGTTAAACCTCTCTATTGTTTTAACACACAATAAAACAATTTTCACGTACCACAGTATTAGTGACTGTTACGGTAAATGTAACTGCAGGAAATTAACTTAGAGCAACGTACCACAGTATTAGTGAACCATTTTCACTGTTACGGTAAATGTAACTGCAGGAAATTTTCTTTTCCTTTTAGTTTAAAAATAGGAACACTTCTTGTTCTTTAAGCATCCCCCCTTCAGTGGCTCAGCAGTAAGTCCGGGGGCGTATAACGCTAAAAATCGGGTTTCGATACACGCGGTTGGGAAAACGCAAATAACCTGTTGTGTAGCTTTACTCTCCACAACAAATAAATAAGGGATCTTTCTCCAAAATGATCAAAACTGTTTGCACACAAACACACGTATCTGCTGCACGTGCAGTATAAGTAATGTGGAGACTTTCTTGAGCTAGTCACACGATGTGATGTTTCTGAACTCTCCCACAGAAGGTGTGGCTAGAGAATTCCTTCGGCGTGTACTATTGTGTTCTTTAGTAACATCGGCTGGGTAGATAGTTAGGCATATCTAGAGACTGTCTTCTCCCCTATGGGAGAGTATAACCCATTGTAATTTGTATAAACTGATTGATCCTCTCAGTCTTGAGCAGGAGTTATTAAAACATTTTCTGAAATAGAGCTATCATTAGCAAGAAGGCAGTGCTGTGATTTCGTTCTGTTGACACATCCTGGCTGTGCTAACATGAATATCTATCTGATTGTTCTTTCATACACACACAAAGTTTTTTGCATTATTCTAACATGGAGCCCGGTCTCTCTTTTTTTTTTTTTCAACTCAATCAGATCATAAATTCAGACTAACTCTGCAATAGTTATTCCAACGAACCACATGGTAAATGATTACTTTTTATGTGAAAGTAATATATGTATGTGCCTTAGAATACCGTAATATTACTACAGAGGTAAAAAATGTAAGGAACAATTCTATATTTTTTGCTAAAAAGTTGTATTGAATTAACTGTAGCTCCATATCCATGTACATTTGGAAACCCCTGAAACACATATCATGTTTAAGCCAAACCTGGTAAGTACATAATATGCACATTTAACAAAAAAATAAAAAAATTCTACATCCTAGCTATTCGAATGTTTTTATCTTTTCAACATACCTAAATGTACTGTGGAAAATATATTATAATTTTTAATTTTCTTGTGTTAGTTGGATAAAAGTATCAGATTTAAAACATAAACATCAAAACAAGTAAAAAACTGTAAACAGTGTTATATGGCCAAAAAGTATTGGATACACAAAACTCAAGGGGAAGCATAATAATTTTTCTTTTACAAACTATATGCAATTACTTAAAATTAAGTGGAATCACATCACACCTGAGAAATTTCGCTGTAAAGTTGTGGCTACACAGCTGGGAAACGCAGAACTCCACTGGCCATTCGAGCATGTCAAATTCCTCTGACCAACGAATTTAAACATGCCTACTTCAGAACATCTAATTTCCAATTTACTGCCGTGAGGAAGAGTCATCTCTCGATCAATGGTCAATATTTTCCCTTCATAACTGACCACTACTTCAGCGTCTGTTACTCGCAAAGAACACTGATGCAAGATAGGTTGAAAACGGTCTCCGCCTGGTGAAAAAGAAACAAACTATAATTTACTAAAGATAACTTACTTTCTGGGTGTGTTCCAACTCCTTTATTTTGTCGTTGTTGTTGAAAATATTCGTTTACTATGTGTCATTCAGAGTTAAGTATACATTGAAAGTGTGACATTTAAGCATTGACATTGAAACTAATTTGTTTAATAAATAATTTCGCATGTTAGATTTCCATACATCATCAATTCCTAACTGTTTCCTCGTACTTTTTAATTTTAACCCTAACACTTTTTAGCAAGTAATTGACACAAAAACTTCCGCTCGTTTGTATCTATTATATGATATTTATAGCACGACACCCATTATTTTATCAGTCGCACATAGTATCCTATTTATAGCATAACACCCATTATTTTATCAGTCGCACATAGTATCCTATTTATAGCATAACACTCGTTGTTCTATCAGTCGCACATAGTATCATATTTATAGCACAACACCCGTTGCTCTATCAGTCGCACATAGTATCCTATTTATAGCACAACACCCGTTGCTCTATCAGTCGCACGTAGTGTGATATTTATAGCACAGCATCCGTTGTTCTATTCATACATAGTGTGATATTTATAGCATAACACCCATTGTTTTCTCAGTTATACATAATTGATTTAGCGAGAATGTTGAACACACGATTCACGCATTCAAGTTAAGACTAATCCGCCCTCAGTGGCACAGCGATATGTCTGCGGACTTACAACGCTAGAATCCGGGTTTCGATACCCGTGGTGGGCAGAGCACATATAGCCCACCGTGTAGCTTTGTGCATTATTACAAACAAACAATAAGACTAATCCACAAAAACGTTTCCTTTATATTTTTTTATAGCATTGGCCTAGTGCGGCATTGTTCAGCTATCTTTAATGTTCACGCCTGTTTCTTTTCAAGTTTGATAACGCTTAGCATCTGTGTATGTACGAAAGATAAATCTTATCATAAACACAATTTTTGAATGACGATTGAAGAAATATAAGATTAAATACACATATATGTCATGTTCAATCTCAGGACTCTGTCATCGACCGGAGAATTACCTTTTCGCGATTTCAGCAAGTCAAAATTATCAAAGATCGAAATAAAATGTTATTTCAGTGATTGTGCGAATTATTTTGCTTAAACTGCGAAACGCAAAATACCAACTAAGCAAAGAACGAAACAGAAAAAAATGAGACAATTGCTTAACTAGATGTGGTAGGATGATCTATTCCATCAAGGGGTATTTCATAGGGTGGCTTTTATCCAGCCTTATTCACTCTGAGTCACGTTCACAGCAAAAATATATTTGTTTAACTAATGAATCAACAGTCTTGGATCAATTTTTATTCTTAAAATTATTTTATTTTGAGTTTTTTCTTGAAATGTTTTTTTCAGCATAAGTTCAGCCCCTTAAAGTGGCAGGGCTACATCTGAAAACCCCTTGCTTTTCACATGGTCATTTAAGGGTGTTTAAAAGTAGGATCAACAAAATCTCTTTATTTTGGATGAACTTCTATTGAGGTCTACCAATAATCACTCAGAGTATCAACAAACACTAAGGCTGTAGAGAGGGATCAGTAAAGGTAATAAAGTAAAATAATTGTAGCGCCACTTCTGCAATGTGGAATAAAGTAGGTGTGAAATATATTATGCATATAGATAAATATTCGTGATTTAATTTATTATTTAAAGCTCTACATTCAATCCCTATATATATAATATAAGCTACAAGGGAGAAGGAAGGGGTAGCAGAACTATAAATTATTTACAAACAACTTGAGTAGAATTATTTCTAACGTGAAATATTAAATTAATGAGAGGTCGCTAGCATATAAAATCTTATTATAAAGACTAGCGTTAACTTTATGATACTCTCAGTATCTCTGGGTCGGAAAGACTAGGCCTGGCTCAGTTTACCCAGTTATACTTAAAAGTCATGCCCTTAGAAAAGGTTGTTTGTTTGTTTTTTGAATTTCGCGCAAAGCTACACGAGGGCTATCTGCGCTAGCCGTCCCTAATTTAGCAGTGTAATACTAGATGGAAGGCAGCTAGTCATCACCACTCACCGCCAACTCTTGTGCTACTCTTTTACCAACGAATAATGGGATTGACCGTCACATTATAACGCCCCCTACGGCTGAAAGGGCGAGCATGTTTGATGGGACGGAGATTCGAACCCGCGACCCTCAGATTGCGAGTCGAGTGCCCTAACCACCTGGCCATGCCGGGCCTTAGAAAAGGTACCAGAACAATATAGGTGAATTTATAGTTTATAATTAATAATAAAAACATTAACTGAAATATTATTTAAAGTATTACTGCTTATACTATATTGAATAGTTATTAATATCTTGCAGTGATGAAGTGTCAGTATTATTACTTGAAATGTACAGTAAGGTTGTATATTTCGTAATTTAATAAATAATCAAAATAAAACTACCGAATCTTTAAGTAAGTATAATTGTATTGGATGATTGTTTTATATTGATGTCTACAATAAGAAAACAAAAAGTAGAAAACGAGGGAAAGGTAAAAAATATGTAAAATGGATTAATTTCAAAGCATTTTGTAAAAAGTTCGATTCTATTTATACCAACATTAATAATATTGTTAAAGTTATAATTAAAAATATTTTTGAATTAAATTTGATAAAAATAAAATATTTATCAGCATTGCATATACGTTTGAATTTTAAAATATACATATTAAAGATTTGTTTTGGATTTAATTAAAATTAGATTAAATTGCGATATATTTCCTAATGATAAAAACGCTACAAAAGATAACCTAGAAAAATCATATATTATTATAGATTTTAAACATAAAGTGTATGATGATTTTTTTTTCTGCCAGTGGCACAGCGGCATGTCTGCGGACTTGCAACGCTAGAAACCGGGTTTCGATACTCGTGGCCGGCAGAGCACAGATAGCCTATTGTGTAGCTTTGTGCATAACTACAAACAAACAATCATACATAAAAGTATTCAAGAAAAAGTATTTCATATAAAAGTATTACAACCATCTGTTAGCTTTAGATACAATAAACCGATAAGACCTTTTATTTTTAACTATAAACAATCCACTGAAAATCTTAATCCAGAGATATTGATAATATACCTTGTAACTCTAACAATAATACGTTTACTGATTATTTTCATAAGCATATTATTACTGGTGATTTGAATGTGATCAAAGATATTGATATTATAAACATTCTAAAGAAAGAAACTAAATTTAGAATCTTAAATAAAACTACAAAGAATGAAATGATACAAATTATAGAAAAAAATATTGATGAATATATTAGTTTTTGTTTGTTTTGAATTTCGCGCAAAGCTACACGAGGGCTATCTGCGCTAGCCGTTCATAATTTAGCAGTGTAAGACTAGATGGAAGGCAGCTAGTCATCACCACCCACCGCCAACTCTTGGGCTACTCTTTTACCAACTGTACGG